GTGGGTGGGGGGAGATGCTTTTGTGTGTGGAGGGGAAGGGGAAAAGTTGCCATTGGGTTTAGATGAATGTGCATAGGAGGAGGAGTGAGTAGTAAGTAGTAGATGGATGAATTTAATATTGCCAAACAAGTGACAAGACAATGTGGGGAGGGTTGACAAATCTATCTCTTGTTAGGACTTGAGTAGTGCCTTGGCTAATTATTAGGGTTAAGGATGACCTCCATCTCGGAAGATGTTCTCATATCTGCTCGGACGGTCTTTTGGAGAAGGTAAATTAAATTTTAATCAAAAATTGGTAACAAAGAATATAGTTTGTACTTACTTGAAAATGTTCTATGCTTAACATAATTGGTTTCTAATGCAATGTGAAAATTTGAATTTGAATCTACCTATTTGGCACTCATTATCTTTGTCTACTGCGCAACGGGCACTGGGATGCTTAGATAATCCTTAGGTGTATGTATCACTCATAAGTGTCTCTTGTTAGGACTTGAGTAGTGTTTGTGTAATAATTAAGGTTAAGGATGAGCCACATTTTAGAAAACTTTCTCATATCTGCTTGGACGGTTATTTAGAAAAGGTAAATTGAATTTTGATCATGAATTGGTAACAAATATTGTAGTTTGCACCTGTTACTCGCAGATGATCTATGCTTAACATAATTGACTTCCGACATAGTGTCAAGAATAGAACTCGAGTCTACCCTTAGACAATTTTTACCTTTGTCAACTGTGTAAAGCCTACCGGCATGCTTGGATAATTCTTAGGTGTATCACTCATAAGTGTCTCAAAAATTATAGTATGAGTCAATAAAATTAGCTGAATATCATTCTCTGTTTACGCTTTCTTCTATTCTGTCCAGCAATGTTTTTAGTCTATATTAAGGTTCTAGAGAAAAATTTATAGTAGCATTCTCTAAAGACATCAAAAGATTTTGCTTGATTGAAGTACTCTTGTGATGCCCTCATATAGAGGAACGTCTTTCGGATCTGAGATGGGTTCTAGCCTCCGAATTTCTACATCTCTTGAGCGTCTTCTTATATGACGTATCTTGTTTCGATATTGGTCCATCTTTCTGCATACATCCTAATAGTCTCTGTGGTATGGCTATATGTTCCTCCCCCAGGATCCTTCAAACATCTTTTGAAGACAAACTTCATGCAGAAGTGTTTTAAGGATATAATTACCTGCATATCCTTAAACTCGAGCATACAATAGTGTTATAAGCACAACCAATGTTGATGATTGCGAATTCCATGATGAGCTCTCTCCTATATGGATACATCTAAATCAACGACACAATGATTACCTTTGATTTTGAAAAAAAATAAACTTAAAGAACGTTTTTTATTGTATTCCATATATTCAACGATCCCGCCGGTCACACTCGGTTATTCCTTCCATTTCAAAATTTACTGTGATTACATTGTGATTACATGAAATGACAAAATGTTAAAAAAATATTAAAAGATAAAAATGAATAGCACTCTTTTTCTACTCTTTATCCACTTTCCAAATATCACTCAAAATATGTCTCTTTCTTTAACAAATTCCAATGACATTTTTCCACTTTTCACAATTTTTAATAAATTCCATGAATGACCAAACACAGAAATTTTTTGTTGAACAAAGGTACGGAGTATAATTCCACTAAAAAGAAAAACAAAGAAACTTTCGTGATGTGAGAGAGTGGGGGGGGACAACACAAGCAGACCCTTTAGGCTTTTAACGACCCCAACCATAATATGTCATCTCGTAAATACTCCCTCCCCATTGATGTTCTCAATAGCCCTTTTTCTTTGTCCACAATAGATCTTCTCATTTCATTTTTTAACAATTAAAATACCATAACTACCCCCACTTACTTTATTTATTACACCTCACCCACCTCATGTAATACACTTCACCCATATTTCATTAAGGGTATTATGGTAAATTTTCACTTTTTTCCAACTCTCCTTAAAAACCACCAAAAGTCAAAATGAGAACATCTTAGGGAGACGGAGGGAGTAATTAAATACAGTGAAAGTTTACCGTGCATCGAAAGAGCCATTAACACTACACACAAATGCTGTAACAAAAAGATAGAATGAGAGATACATGTGACACTATGACACACCCCAAATTGCTTCTTCAACAAAGTTTTGACACTGTCCATCAGGGATCCAAAATGACTGAGAAAATATGACTCTTAAGGTGGCGTGATCATCTGTAGCCGGCGGCACCGCCAGTTTCTACAGAGTGTGGTCCGACTCCGGCGCCACCTTTAGCCTTGGAATAGTTAGTGTAGTAAAACTCTGAGAGTATTCCCGTGAGGAAGATGAAGGCAGCTCCGGCAGCGAAAATGCCCTTTCTCACCGTCTCGCAGGAGAGTGTCGTTCCTCGGAATGATCTGTACTTGGTGTGATAAGCATTCCTCACTGAGCCAGCCAGCAAGAGCACCTCCGCAATGAAGAATGAGACCCTGAATTCCAATTTATTAAATTCAATACTATGTATATAAAGTTCCTCGATCTACTAAGGCTATGTTCCGGAACTACATATGTGATTAGCGTTAGCGTTTTGAATAGTATTTAATGGTGCAAGTTAGCTTTGAAAATGCTAAAGTTTTGAGGCTACACTTGGGAGCATTGTATGTGTTTAGCGTTAGTTTTTTGAATACTCCATAATATTTGCGGTTTGAGCTAAATTCGAAATTGCTAAAGTTACAACACACGCTGATAGATCTACTAAGGCTACGTGTTGGAACAATGTGATTATTGTTAACATTTTATAAATAATATTCCAAATTTGATAGTGCTAATTACATTTGAGAATGCTAACACAAAAAGATACCATTGGATGACATTTTCAAAACGTCAAAGCTAAGCATTGAAGCTAGTGCCAACCAAAGCTAGCTGAAAAGTGGAGCTCTCTCACACGCTTTTATTTTATATTCACTGTCATCCTCTCCCTTAGTCGATGTGGTATAACTCAGACAACAAAAACTATACAGATGCATTCAAGACTTAACAATTACTAATGGTCTGATACCCCGCCACCCCCCACCCCCATTGTTGGGTAGTAATGGGCCTATCTCAACCCAAACATTGGGGGTGATCTCCCACCACCTGCAGCCATTTCCACCACTGATGTATCACATAGAGGTGGACCAGGTTCCACTTCAAAATTGGAACCAGACCTATAGCCCACTAGGTGTTCGTGGGAAAATTGGAGAGCTTCTTGTTCCATTTCTAATCGTTTTTTGTTTTCTGAACAATAACAAGCGTGTGATTCACAATTTCTACAAGTTCATGCCTAGACTAGTAGACTATCACAAACCAAAAACAACAATTCCAACAGTTACAGAAAGGGGCAAGTTGAAGCATACCAGCACAAGAAGAAGAGGAGAAGAGCGCAAGACCGCGAGCCGCCGGGACGGAGAGCCTTCCCGCAGCAGAAGCAGCGGCTGGCCACCATCACAAGAGCTTGACAAGCCAAGAGCAACAAGAAGGCGCCAACACCATAGCCAGTGGATATGTCAGATTCATAGACGCAGTAATCATAATTCTCTACTTTATTCGTCTCAATCCGCGCCTGTAAACCCCTCACATAATCAGCGAAGAAGAAGAATTAGAAAAACACAAATTAAATCCACACACGCGTTCGAATCCGAATCAGAGATCAAACGAAATCGAATCTATATGAACACGGAACAAAAAAAAATGCTCGAATCAAAATAATTGAACCGTTCAGGAACAGTGAAATTTCAGGATTCGGAGGCTCTTACCGTGCTTCTCCCGCGCTCGGCTGCAATGGCCAGACCGAAAGCAACGAGATCGAGGATAAAGACGGTGATAATTAACAGCTTGGAAGCCATGGAAGAGTGGAGAGAAGAAGAGAAGCTTCAGTTCACACGGCACTGGGAGTATGAATTACAGATCTGGAATTGCAGATCTGGAAATCCTCAAGCTCCCTCTAATAATACTCTGTAATAAGCAGAGGTGCGCCAGCATGGTGTCGGTGCTTTAAACCCTTATTTTCGTCTTTTCCAACACTAATTATTCGCTTTTTCCATGCATTACATACTCCCTATTAAAGAGTAAAACTCATAATATTAACACTTTTCCCGGAATATCATGTGAATGAAAGTTCAAAGAAAATGAAAATAAATGTTTGAAACAAATAGAGAGGAAAAGAAAAAATGTGGACCAATTAAGATTTTTCAGAAAAGAAAATAGAATACCTTTTTGGAACGTCTCGAAAATAAAATAAGGAGTCTTGGAGACGGGGGAGTAAATTTTATACTTTATGCGTATTTAAAAATAAAAAAATGTCCCTGATAAGAGTAAACAGTATGTATAAAAACATCAAAATAAGAGTCATAAGTGTTTCAGGACAAAATAGAAATATAATGACAATATGATTGAAAAGTGATAAAATTGTAATATAGAAATGTTATGATTCAATCGCTGACGGACCAACGGTCAACGTCGGCATTCGGTGAATCTCACATGTGACCGGCTGCAACGGATGATGACGTGACACGATAGTGTGAACATATAATAATGATAATAATAATAATAATAACAACAACAACAACAACAACAATAGTATTAATATTATTATAGAAAACACTTCATTTTTAGAGTCATTATTTGGGTAGAAGAAAATATTGAAAAAATAAGAATAGTTACAAAAAATCAAAACAGACGATTTAAATTGGGACGGAGGAGTATAATTTTTCTACTTTTGTCTGAGACCTTTATTGGTGATCACTTCTCAAGTGTTCATGTAGAGTGCTTCTTTGGTGCACCTTGGGTGCATATTATCTTTGAAGACCTTCTCACATGATTTTTTTAATTTTTTATTTAGAAAAAACAAATCCTTATTTAAGTAGTAAAGAAAATATTGAATTTTCTCATATGTAAGTTCATGGTAGACTTTATTAAATCCACCATAAAATTTGTCATTCATGTAACACTCCAACCCACATAACTCGAACCAACGGATTAACAAATTGGGGTTGCTACTTAAGTGGTGTTCACATGCACAATATTTAAAATAAGACATTCATCCATAAGAATTTTAAATAAACACACGGAGGAAACAAATCAAACATTGTTTAAGTCTTAAAAACAACACCATCAAACATCCTTATAATTGAAATAAATAAGTTTAACATAATAATTAAATTAAGTCAGAACAACTTTGGATCATCCACTTCGCCAGGCATCACTAACTACTGAGTTGCTCATCCAATCTTTGATTTTTACATACGTGCAGTCAAAGACAACAAAGGTTACACGCTCAGCTAAAAGCTGAGTGAGTAACTAACTTTCATACGTACGTTTTTAACTCTCGAGACCATCAGGTGTGTGATATGTGTATGAGTTTGGCTTCTACTTTAAGTGACCACTACTTTGCTATGGTTGACATGTCAACTTCTAATTTCACCACTAATATTTTGCATATAGAAACACTATTGTGGAGAAATAGAGACATGAGATGCTTTAGCTTTCAATCTATGTATTTGTCTAAAGTGACACTTTGAGCTGTGGAAATGTCCCTAACGCCCACCGGCGTAATTTCAGGTGGCTTTTAACGCGTGGGAGCGTTAAACACCGCCTCCTCCAGCGTCAACTGGACGTTAAATATTTTGCATTAAAGGTTTGGCGCTACAAGCTACAAATTTTGCCAATAGCCCCCTCTCCAACGGTCCAAATTAGAAAAGGGCAATTATCATCTTTTCACAAATATGGTTTCATGGATAAAAAATGAGATCTTTTAAAAAAAAGTCTAAATTTTTTATTTTGCTTTTGTGAGATAAATATATAGCTCATTATTTAAGTGATAGATTCACAAAGTTTTCTTGAAAAATAGTCGAATAACAAGTCTACTAACCCAAGTGATATTTTAATTGCGAAAGTACAGATTACGTGATTAAAAATCAATTCACTTTCTCTCATGTGACTATCTTTTCTCTCATTTGACTATCTGACCGTTTCTCAGACATTTCAAGACCCCATATATTGAACAGAAATGGACCCAATCAAACTTGGTCTATGACAAACATGTGCATCAACTTTACACTTCACAATCAAAACTCAGTCATGTCACACATAGAATTTGATCAATCAAGACTACTTGGTTGATCAATTACAATAAAAGGATAAAATAGTTTAAATAAATGCACACCAATCTGGTCATGATGAACTATTTAATTGGCATTTGATGTAAATGGAAGAATGTGCCAACTGGTAAAACACTCATCCCCATAAGTATACAATTTATTTCCCCTAAAAAGACCCAATCACAACAAAAACTACCACTCCAAAATAGCAAATGATTTTTCAGTGCTCACTCTGTTCAAAATGCAGACGATTTTCGCTTTGTCGTGTCGCGAAGAACAACAGCCTTGGTCAGGAAATCTGTGTACCATGAAACAGAGTGCTTTGGGATCCTACGCAACGTGCCCGGTTCAACATAGTACAGCCCGAACCTCGTTGCATAATCTTCCCACTCAAAGGCATCCATCAAGCTCCAGATGAAATATCCTCGTACGTCCGCCCCATTCCTACCATTAATGGAGACCACGAACCGTATTAGTCTCTTAAAAAGAGTAAATGGAAAAGGGTTACCTAAATTTTCAGATGCCCAAATAAGGAAAGTTGTAAAGTTCATTCAAAGACATGAGAGTACCTATTCACAAGTTACACAACACTTGTTTATTTTGTTGCTTAAAGATCTTTCATTCTGTTGCTAATAATAACACTTCAATGAAAGAAAAAAATAAAATTGCTGAAAATGGCACACCATTTTTTGTGTATATACCCAGAGCATGCATATTATAAAATTAGTGTTTACTATAAACACATTTACGAGTAACATAATACTCCTTACTCATCAGATGTAAAGAAATGATATGCACGTATATACCTTATTGCTCGGGCCAAAAAGGAAAGGTAAGCTTTATGATACTCTATTCTCTTAGAGTCGTGCACGATACTGAGAGCTGATGCTGTCTTGTTTGGTGGCGCGTATCCTACAATACACAAAGAAAGAAAAAACAAGTCGTTTATGTTAAGGAACAAAACACAGGCCAGAGGAAAAGTTTTTTACTCTTACAGTGTATGATAGTTTAATGAAGATAATTGTGGTAAAAGAAGCAATATGCATTGTTAAGAATGTACTCACCATTTTCAAGTATGAACATTGGCTTATTGTGATACCTCTTCTTAACGTAATTAACGATCTTTTCCATTCCTCTAGGAACAACAAAAAATCGACTGACGGCCATCTGTTACGACGATACATGAAAAGGAATTAAAAAAATTAGTTGTGGTGAGGGAAAGATAATTGGAATTGGTCTCAACTAACCCAACAGCAACAATAAACAAAAGCCCCATAAATGGGGTAGAAAGAGGATGCTTCTGGTTGAGTTGGTTCCTAAATAAATCCTACCCTTTATTAAAGAAAACATAAAAAACACAATTCTTCATACCTGGTCCCCGATAAAGACGCCATCTTTCTCTCCAGTAGTATACAAGAAACCGTTTATCGTTCGGTTTCCACCTTTTGAGCAGGTAGATCCAGTGCAATTGCACCTTGAATAAAGGCAATCTTTTGCATACAAGGTGCCATAATGGTTCATGCCAATGAAGTCGACGCTGTCTTTTAAAAGGGCTTTTTCCTCTAAGGTGAACTTTGGTAATTCACTCCCATGATAGAAACGCATTTCCGGGGGATAATCACCAAATACTGCTGGATCAAATGTCCTGTGTTCCATCACACCACATACAAGTGTTTTCTCTATAAGAGACATTTTCAATCAAGAATTTGTGAGACCAAAAAATGCAATTTACCATAGCTAAGATTATAGCAAGACATACCAAGCCGCATTAAACCCTAGTGCCCTACTTGCAGCTTCTTGATCATGTGCATCGTCATTAGAAAAAGGTTCGTACATGAACATGACTTCACTCATTCCAATTAATCCACCTTGTTTAGTCTACATTTATATCATTTTGGCTGTTTTAAACAATGAAGCAAATCTCAAATAAGGATAATCAACGATGGATTGGACACTTGCCTGAAACTGTTCACGGTACACCTTCACGGCCTTGCCGTGCGCCAACAACATGTTGTGCACGGCAATAAGAGGCTCAACATCTGAATTGCCCGAAGAGCAGTTTCCGTAGGGGGGTGAACAACGAGCAGGTGGGTATTGTCCCCACTCGTATGCCCTCACTGCAAACAAGTTTGGCTCATTGATAGTGACCCAATACTTCACTCTATCTCCGAAACTCGCAAAGCATATTTGAGCAAAGTACACAAAGTCTTCCCTATAGAAACACAAATGGTGTCAAACTTATTGTCATTGAAAATTTCATCAGAAAAGGTAAACCTTATGCAATTATTAGTTCTGGCGCGGTTCTTTTTTGGCATCGAGCCTTGGTGTCAACATATGACACTGCACCATTCGAGGGGCCTACAGTCCTCAGTGGGTCCAGTGTCAAAACAACTGTAGTGTATTAGACTATTAGTTCATGTGTTGTTGGGATATACTAATCTTGAAATGTTTTTGCTTAATTCTTAGGTTCAATTTGCTCGTTTGAGCCTAACTAACTCAATAAACCAACAAAAAACAAAGGGAGAAAACCATACTGCATCTCGGAACTCATCCAACCTCCGTATCTATCCTCAAGTTCCTGGGGATAGTCATGGTGATGTATAGTTACAAAAGGTTTTATTCCTGCAACTCACACCAGCAATTATCTTAGGTTTTCAACGATAATACCGTCGTGTAAAGCAAAGAGAAACGAAAACTCCATACATTACCTTTTGAGAGGAGATAATTTATGAGTTTGTTGTAAAAGTCAATACCAGCTTGGTTTATGCCACCGAATCTCCCCTCTGAGACAAATCAAAATGTACAGTCATTGGTGGATAAGATTTTTTCCTAAAAAATATGGAGTAGTAAGAATGAATGGAAGAAGGAAGTTCAAAAAAACAAACTGGGTAAGATTCTGGCCCATGAGATGGAAAATCTATATGCATCCAACCCTAGAGAGTGCATCAGGTCAATGTCTTCCTACAAGCAATAGTACAAAATGTATCCCCCCACAGCGAAACTAATTATTAAAGTATATCAAATTTTCATTCTCGATCGATCCATGCATTTGAAACACAAATGTACTTGTAATGTTACTCTCAGTTCAAGAAAATAAATTGAGAAAACTTAGTTAGGCACTTAGGTATCAAGATATAAGTGTTCTTAATAACTTAATCCTAATTTGTTTTATTTTAAAATCAGGCATCGTCTTCGAGCTCTTGCTCAGACCAGAGGGCTCACACGGGCCATGCAGGCTGCACCGCAACACGTGCAACATCAATACAGTGTCTTGCCGCACCAGAGCCACCAGGGTCACTTAGTTGGCTTTCAGCCTCTTGTGCCCTCTTTTTCACTGCTTCACATAGTTTACTTTCCTCCATGCGGTGCGTTCCCTGGTCCATGGTCCGCGCCTCTTTTTGGACAGCCCTGTGTGGTTACCTTCATGCCTTACCCAATTCAGACTACACTAGTCTCACCCTACCCAATTCAGACAACAGGTCTCACCCTACACTAGTCTAAATTGGGTAGGGTGGGACCAGTGTAGTCTGAATTGGGTAGGGTGGAACCAGTGTAGTCTGAATTGGATAGGGCATGAAGGTAACCACACAACGCTGTCCAAAAAGAGGCGCGGACCATGGACTAGGGAACGCACCGCATGGAGGAAGGTAAACTATGTGAGGCAGTGAAAAAGAGGGCACAACTGCACAAGAGGTTGGAAGCCAACCAAGTGACTCTGGTGTGGCAAGGCACTGTATTGATGCTACACGGGTTGGGGTGCAGCGTGCATGGCCCGTGTGAGCCCTCCGGTCTGAGCAGAGCTTGAAGGCGATGCCTGATTTTAAAATAAAACAAATTAGGATTAGGTTATTAAGAACACTTATATCTTGATACCTAACTAAGTTTTCTCAATTTATTTTCTTGAACTGAGAGTAACATTATAAGTATATATGTGTTTCAAATGCATGGATCGATACAGAATGAAAAACATCTCATTATTGAAACTAATTGTTCATGAGACTATATGTCAAAAAAGATGCAAGAAAATTTCAAATCATACACAGCGAAGCAGTGTTTGGTACGGAGGAAATTCATTTTCATTTCCGCCAAAAAAAACAGGTAAATGATTTTCCTATTATGCCTAACAAAGTCTGGAAAACAAGAAAATCTTGGAGAATCATTCCTTCTGTACCAAACAATGCCTTAATCACAAGGAAAAAAAGTAAGGAAGTAACAGTACGGAGTAACGATGGTAGTGATCATCAGCTACATCTCCATTTCTCCGATCTTGCGTTCTCCCTGGTTGATCATTAGTTTAAAAATGTCATAATATACTCCGTAATACGTTTATTAGGCTTCCAACTACAAGTTCGAGACTCTTAATCTTCTTAGCTCATGCAGTGAAGAGTGAACACACTGTTAGCTGGCAAGCATGGCACCGACAATGAACATAAGCATAACAGCTTTCTTAATCTCTTAATAACTTTTCATTGATTAGATGTCGCAAGCTCAAAACTCACTACTACATTAAAAGTAAAACTAATGTTCGCTTCAACGCTAGAACGAACAAATATCAGCACGCGATGGGCGTGTTATACTACTCATCAGATCATACATTGACTTCAAACTTGAGCATTCAGTTGATTTGAGAAGAAAAATTACAGACTTGATACTCTACATTTAAACGAGAGAGACGATTGATGAAGAAATCGAAAGAAATTACTACTTAAGTACCACACATTGGAGAATTTAGAGACAGATTTGAGTGATCACAACAAAACCCTAAATTCTACCATAAATTTACCTTTGGAAATGAAAAAGGCATCCCAATTGTTAATCCCTTTACCATCTTCGAGATAGCCTCCTTCAACCTAAGACATGAAAATCTTCAACAACCTGTCCAGAAGAAGAAAGAAGGAAAACCACCCAGACAAAGAAAACGAGGAACAGAGCAGAAACCTGGTAAGCAGAGGTGGAGGCGCCGAAGAAGAACTGATCGGGGAAATCGGATCTTCCGATCACAATGTCATCGGAGACGATTCCAGATTCTTGGCCAGAAGAGGAATCTGGGGATTTTAGAAGAAGGAGAAGAAGAAGAAGAAGGTAAAGGAGATTGCGAGCAGGCATCATCATCATCATCTTGTTGGTGAATGCTGATGATTAGAATGTGACAGCCACCACCATTTCAGCGGAGGAATTCCCTAAGTGGCAAAATTTTTCAAAGTATTTTCCTCACTTGGAATTTCGCATGGCATACATACGAAAATTCTGATCAAACCTGCCCCACTTTCCATACTTTTAACTGCACCCATTATTTTAAAATATTTGTCTTTTTTTTAATTTTTCTTCTACAAAATCTATTTTACTTGTAATTTTTTATACACAAATTATTATTTGATAAAAATTATACTGTTGAATACCTCTCATCGAGTTCTATCTAACGAGACCAATTGTGCATATAAAATTTTAAATATATATTTTTTAAGTCGAATATTATAATCTAATGTTTTTTTTCCTCGTTTTAAAACAAGAATTTTACAAAATACTTGTATTTTTTAACCCAATGTTATTTTAAAAATGAAGAATAACTACTCGATTCAATCCCACGAAAGTTGGGCCAGGGAGAGTGCGTGCGTAGACCTTATCCTTACTAAAAAGAAGAGATGTTTTTCATTAAAACCCAGCTAATAAAATATTTTTTTTAAATTTCATTTCTTAAATTTTTGTATGTCTGAATAGTAAAAAAGGTGATACATAACATTTTCTTTATTATCACATCACATTAAATACAAACATGGAAGGCTTTTACGGGCCTGTTTGAGAATAGCGTTAGAGATTATCGTTAGCGTTTTGGATAAAATTTTAACGGTGCAGATTATTTTGAAAACGCTAACACTAAACGCTGGCCGTAGATAGCTTTTTCAAAACGCTAACGCTAATCTCCAACGCTTTTCCCAAACAGACCCTACATTTTTTAACTTTTCTTGTTCTCAATACTAATACAAAAGGGAAAGAAATTGTTGGAATGAGGGAGTAACATTTAAAGAAATATTATTATAAATTTAGTTCTTAAATTTTTAGTGTGATGATTTTAAATTATTATTTCAAAATACATAATTAATTATGTTTTGTGATTGTGATTTGTTAAGTTTTCATAACATTGAAAACTTCGTACTGTTTCTATTATGAAAAATATTATTGTGATAAATAAAAGTGTTTGAAATGTTTTAAATTTTACGATTACCAAATTTATACATTGCGAGTGTTTTTAGATCTGCAATGTTGGGTGAAGTGGAAGACTTTAGGGGCATTTCGGGAAAGTCAATGCATATTTTACACTCCTTTAAAAATGACATATAGTCAATGTGGGAAGATGGAATTAGGACGGTGGGAGTATTATTTACTTTCCTTATTTTATTGTTACCATAATTGTTAATGGTGGCATTGGCTCCCTAATATTCGAATGTTTAATGGTGGATTGGGCTAGATGGTTAATTCTGTAGATAATTGTGGATTAGGTTGAATGTATGGATTTGCACATTCGAATTTTCATTATTTTGAATTCCATATCATCAAGCAACATTGTCCAAAATAGGAAACACGATGTTATTATTTACTTTCCTTATTTTATTGTTACCATAATTATTATTCTATTACGATTATGATTCTCTTTGTATTTCTTATATATAAGGATTAAAACTTTGATTATTCAATAAGACCAATTAATATCAAATTATATTACAGTTATAAGTTTTTTTGATGAAAAATATATTTTAAATATAATTCTAACCTAAAAATATAAGTGAGACATAATGTCAAAATTATACTCCTTCCGTTTCAATGTATTTTCTAGTTTGACCTTTTCAAATCAAACTAAATAAGTTTTGAGTTTCAATTAAATAGAAATCGTGACTAAAAAGTATTTAATTCGTTGTCAAAGGGTGCCAGAGTTTGACTAAAAAAGTCATACTGTGTAAACATTTTAGGGACGCGAGTATAAAAATAATACTACCTCCGTCTCTGAGTATTTTTCTAGTTTGATTTTTTTTTCGGTCAACTAGTTTCAACATTTGACCTACAATTAAATAAAATATATATTTTATATTAATTAGATAAAATAATATTTTGAAAGTATTTGATATAATGAATTTAATAAAATTAATTTTGTATCAATATCTAATATCATTTTTATTTAATTTGAGGTTAAGGTTTACTAATTTTAATCAAAAGAAATCAAAAATAGATAAATACTCAAAGACAATAAATAAAAACATTAACTTGTTGTAAATAAACTACTCCCAATTGTGCTGATCATGTCAGAGCAAAAAAGCACATTTCGCACTTATAGAAAATAAAAACATTAACTTGTTGTAAATTGTGTGACCTATCACGCGGTGCACCACCTACATGACGCTATGTTATGTTATTCCTCTCTCATATTTTTCCTTTCTTTTTCTTTGATCTTTCACTATCTCTAATCATTGGTGGCTCAGAGGCTGTGCGAAGTAACCAACAGTACAGGATCTCTAAAATTTTAAAGCTCCACATTTTTAAATTCATCATTAATTTTGGAAAATAAATATTCTAAAATAATAAAATAGGACCTAAAATGTAAATTTCAGACCGGGCCAAATTCATTTTTTCATTTTTCGAGGGCGGCCATGTCTCTAATACTCCTTATACTGTACTAATTTGATTATTAAAATTTTTATTTCATATATTCCTACATATTTTTAAAAGTATGATATCTTATTTTCAGGGGGTTACATCATACTTTTAAATCGTTGCACCCATACCCAATCTAATCATTTTCTGGCCATTCTTCATGCAAAAAAGGGTGCACTAGAGCCACTTTCCCAAACCATGGGAGGTACTAATGCTCATTTCAAATTTTTCATTTATTTTTTTTCTATATTTTTTCTATTATTTGTTTCTTTTATTAACCGAGACTTTTTAAATTTTATTTTAAATTGTTTGTATAATGTTCTTAAAGTTTAAAATTATTTTCGTTTGAAAACAAAATAATTAACAAATAATGCATATCTTCATCTCAAATTAACAAATTTGTTTTTCGAAATAGAAAAGTAGAGAGTACTTTTTTAGAACTTCAGAAAAATGAGGTTTAAAATAAGAAATAAAATTAAAAAAATAAAAATGAATATCATTTTTGAACATCTCAATTATAAGCACTTTTTAGGCGTTTTTAAAATTTGTTTTTGTATGAGACTCTCCTTTAAATGTTTCAATTTTAATCATTTCATTTTTTCATATTTTTATTCTGATTTTTTTAACTTACCAAAATAATTATTCTAGAAAATAAAAATCAGAAATGTTTAATTTGAGATATATGGAGTATTTTTTATTTTTTGAACATAAACAATTTTGAATTTTTAAAAAACATTATAAAAATTTGAAAAGAAACTTTAAAAAACTTGTATAGGAAAAGGAAACAAAGAGATGAAAAAAAGTTTAAAAAAATGAAAAAACAAATAATAGAGGAAAAGTAAGAAATGAGTAGACTTCAATTAAATAAAAATGATAATGCGTATTGGTATAAGAGCTATTTCATTAGACTTATCTTCAGGGCCGGCCCGAGGGTGGGCCAAGAAAGCCTACCGGACCGGGCCCAATTATTTAGAGAGCTCAAATTTTTTTAAATATTGTATATATATGAAAAATTAAGATACCAATATCCTAATGTGTAAAGTGGGAGTCGAACTTGAGTATTTGATGTGTAGAGAGGTTTCATCCACTTAAACTACAAAACTTCTTGTTACAAAAGTCATGCAACAAGATACATATCTAGTGTGTTGATTTCATTAAAACATCTAGTTATTTAGAAAAGGAAACATAAGTAGTATCTAAATACTTGTTGTATGAGCTTATTAAAATGTTCAAAAAAAATATTAAAATTGTTTGTGTTTTATCTAAAAATTAATTTGAATACTTATACATAAAATTTATTTTTTCTTCAAAAAGAAATACCTAAAAAATTGTTGTCATCAGTACAAATTAAGAAATACTCCGTATTTATTAGTTATACTTTAATATATCAAAATTAATTTTTTATTATACTTTTTCTCATTTCAATCAACTAAATATAAGTGTGACAGGTTACATATAAATTATGGAGTATTATATAAGAACACATTACCTATTATCTAATGTTTACTTTTTTAAACACATGAGTGCTGCCTAATTATTTTAGTATTTATTAGATATTCATTATTTATCTTTAATAGTAATAAGAAATAATACAAATAAAAGATATAAAGTATACCGGTATATGCAAAATTATATTGAAAACTAGATGAAAGAGTGAAAAAACACAAATTAAAGTTCTTTGTTAATTAAAAATATCTAATAATATAGATAAAATATCATTCTTTTAATTATAGTTGACCGAGTCGTTGACCCCAAGTCGACTGATTAACCCTTGACTTGCAAGCTTGCCTAGGTCAATATTTGGTCCGATTTTCAAGACATTAGCATGATGAGGTAAGTAGATATAAGTTCTCAGGACTTCTCACTATGATTTTGTCATTTTACAAATTTTGTAATGATACTAGTATGCTAACTGTCATTTAAAAATAATTATTTCGCACACTTTAATTTATTAAGCCATTAGAGATAAAAAAAATTAGGCTTTTTTGTTTCGGCCTAGGCCATCGATTTGTCAGGACTGGCCCTGCTTCTCTTATTGAATTGATTACAAAGGTTTGTAGAGTATTTGAATAATACTTTTATCGGTGAGGTTGTAGTGATACCGGAGTACGGTGCCACTGTGTTGCATAATACCCACATATTTTGTGGGGGGCTTACAACGGGGTTGGGGTGGGGGTACAGGAGCGGGGTAGGATAGAGGTTTAGTGGTTGGGTTGGGGATAGGAACCGTTATTTTTGCAAACGAAGTACCAGAGGTGCCCAAAAACGTAGTGACATCGGAGTGGCACCGTACTTGGGCGTCACTATAACGTACTTTTATACTTTCTAGTGTTTGGGTACTTAAGCATTCTAAAATGACCACAATTCATTATAGATGATAATTATTCAAATTTTCTAAGTAATTTCGAATACTTAGGCATTCCAGAATATTCAACATCATTTTTAGAATTTCAGTACTCTGGGATCTTAGAACTCGTTTCACCTTATATCAATATTTGCATCTAGTAGTCTTCCATAAATCTAATTATCTAATATAATTGAACATATTAAAATTATCAACAA